CAGTGCTAGGGGCGGGGTACACCCATCAAAATTAAACGAAATAAACATTTGAAATATATGAGTTTGTATGTAATGTATGAATATAATATACAAGTTTCACTTTTTAAATGGAATTACTGAAATAAATCTACTTTTTCATGATATTCTAATTTTATGACCAGCACCTGTATATACATATATAAATCTGCAGAATTTTTGTAGAATTGTTTCTTCAAATCCAATTAGAACTCAAATCTAGAGATGAATTAATTTCTTTTAACTGAAAACAGCAGTTTGCTTGATGAACTTGAGCCGTGCTTTGCAGACACACTTCTCACAACATACAAGAAATTCATCTCTTCCTGTAAATGTGAGGTGCAGGAGGTGTACCTGGAAAAAGGCATCCACRTGCTGCTGCGGGACGTCTCCCTTTATAGCCGGGTAGGTGTACTTGCCCATCATGTCATAAATGGCCCTTACAATCTCTGTCATTTCCTGCAAGAACACACAAGATAGTTCCTGAAGGACGATGCACTTCCTATACCCGGGCAATGCTCAGAAGAATAMACAAATCAAAACCAACTTTCCCCTTCAATGAACTCACGTGAGAGCAATGGTTGTGTACGGTTGGGTTAAAGGGTGAACAAATGAAGAAGATAAATCAATAAAGTTTTTATGTCAAAACTGAGAAAGCACGAAGGCAAACAAACTTTGTTACTCAGCACAGAGWGTCGATGAATGTGACAAACCATCTGAAAACACAAGTATGTGATCTGATCACGTTTTATGCAATGACTTTATAGACTAGAAATAAAGGACAAATTCTTGWATCAGAATTTTGTTGTTTGTTTTAAGTGTCCTCTTTTACCTAACAGTGGTCCTCAAGCTATTATTGCTTTGGTTAAYAGCATCCAAAGACTATGAACATAGTTCCTGCATAGTGTAGCCCATATTTGTCAAACTCAAGGCCCGTGGGCTAAATGTGGCCCACCACAGCATTTTAAGTGTTATGTGAGAGCTTCAAAGATGTATTTTTGTCTTAAAATTAGTGAATGCTGCATATGCATTGACCATAAACTACATTTCCCATGATGCATTTTAAATATTTTACCCATAAAATGACAGCATCCCAACACTAGCTTGACAGGGTTCAAAAGTATGCATCAGCTGCATTTTTGCCAGCTATTTTTGCTATGGAGTTGTACTGGAAAGTGAGAATTTCCCTACAAGTCTGGATAGGTGGATGTCTAGTTTACGACTTACAAATAGTAGATTTAAACAGGGATGTTCACTTCTGTGGGAATTCTCTGTAGGAAAGTGGGAGGAACTCCGGCAACCCAGTTCAGTATTCAAGATGGCAGCTGTTCACCACAGGTCAACAGTGAATAAACTGTCTTAATTTTACTTTGAATAGTGTTTCTGTTTTGTTTCATTTCACATTTAGTCCACATGGTACTTTCCTGTGTTTATAAGATGTATTAAAATGCTGCTACTATGCAAGAAATACAGCTCAATTATTGTTTGTTAGCAGTTCTCAGCTGTAGCAATGAGACAAGGAACGTGACATTTCGTATTTAGTTGAAGTAAACCACAAAACATCAAAGTTGATTACAAATGGCCCTTTGAGGGCCACCATTATGCACATGGTTCTTGTGAAAATGAGTTTGACACCTCCGAGTAGGCATATTTCTTGTGAATACGACTGATATAACCACAGGGAGTGAGTTCAAGACACATTTTRTTTTTGTCCACTTTGTATGGCTCAGTCCCAGTTCATACCTTTTCAACAACAGACTATTTAATATGTCTCTATTACGTCCGTTAGCATCCAAAGAARCTGCAGTTGAAAACTAGACTGGTAATGTTATAGGTATCCAACCAAGATGGCGTACTTCTGGTAGGACCAGTTTCCAGTAGGGTCTAATGGGACCTATATATTCAGCTTCTGTAAAGACAAGGGACTGAGCTGATTTACCATTCCCACTGTGGCACCTCCGACTCACCTCTCTGTTTATGTATCCATCACTGTTAATGTCGTAAAGATGAAACGTCCACTCCAGCTTTTCCCTCAGCGTGCCCCTCAGCAGAATAGATAAGCCCATMACAAAGTCCTGTCAATGGGAACAACGCTGAGTCAGCGTAAAAAAAAACAAATCCTTGCACAAGGGAAGATTAAAAGTATGTTTTACGTGATGTGTTTTTACCTTAAACTTAATAGAGCCATTGTTTGTGGTGTCAAATGCGTTGAAAAGATAATGTGCRTACATGCTGGCATCTGCAACAAGATTAACATGAACGTGTGAGGCTCTCCCGTTCAGAATCACCTCAGAGACAGCGAAAAACTGACAGCTTTACCTCCGTGAGGGAAAAATTGGGCATAAATATGCTTAAATGTCTCCTCGTTCACGACTCCACTGGGACATTCCTGTGAAATCAAACGCTTCATCAATATTGTTCTGCTTCTGTTGGAAGAAAACATTCTGGTGATGGAATCAGAACATTACACTCTTAAAGCCACGATAGAGGATCTGCAGCTCCTGCTTGGTGAAGTTGGTCTGCGCTTCCAGCTGCTCAAGGCCTTCTGGCCTGTGACACACTGTGGTCATCTCCAGCTCGTCATCTGTTTTATCTGCAGCAGAGTGAAAAGACAAGACAGAACGATGTCCAATTTCGTATTCTCTTGTTTGTTGGAAGACGAAAGATTGTAAGAAGCAAGACAACGGACAACTCTAGGCCTGAGGCTGGCACAAAACATCTCAGATCTGATTAGACTGCAGAAACAAAACAATGAACGCTCACAGAGTTGAAGTGAAGCAGAAAAAAATAGACAAGAACGAGGATAAAGAGAGAAAGCATGATTCAGGAAGAGCTGTGTGAAGAATGACAATAACCCTCCACACAGGAGCTGAAGCATTTTATTAATGGGAGGATGAGGAGATGGATGACGGTGGGTAATGATGTGAGGAGATACAAGTTTGTCTCTGTCACGGTCTTTGGATGCTGGTCAAAGCTTACTGCGGTGGGCAACAAAGCCCACATCAGTGAGTTCACAAACACCCACTCAGGCAGCAGCAGTATTAAAGACATTAAAGGGACAGATCAGACCATTTGAAGTTGGGTTCTGTGACAAGTTATCAACAATTATTATTATGATTTTTTAAAATTGTACACAGCTGATAAAAAAGATTATTTCAGAGTGAATTGATGAGCTGATGGCGAGCGTAGCGAAAATCAATGTTTGTTGATGGTGTCTCAAAATAGCTTCAGTCTCTAAAGTTTCTAAGTGGTTAATTAAAAAAATCTTTTACACAGTTTTCAGTTTCACATTAAAAAGTTATTCCTGCAAAAATGTCATGAATCTCCAGCTGGGCTAAAGTTGGTTTTGCTGCTAATATTCAAATGAAATAGCATTTTATAAACAAGTTTGGAAATTATATATAGTTAGCACAAAAATAAGGGAAATTTGTGGTTAAATTATTTCATTGTTGTAACAATGCTTTTCGGCAATGTGTCATGCTGTTAATGCTCTTTTAAATGGTGCAACATTTGTAAGGAACAAGCATTTGTGGACTGAGCAGTAGAGCGGAGTATGTGGGTTGCACACATGCAAAATCTGCCAAATCTTCTCTGCCAGTTTATTTTGCTGTTGACTCTAGTTTTGAGCTTCTGGTTGTGCTGCCAATCAGCTGCCCGCTATAAGAGGCAAGAAGCATTGTTACAACAAATACACACATTTCTTTACTCTTTCTTCATTTGTTTTAGGATGGCAGCAATTCTTTTTTATTCCAACCACATTTGGTTTAACTTGTCATCAGCCAWTCAGAATTATGATCCTTTTCTTCAATCTGTCGATGCAAGAGTTATCTACAACAGGTAAGATATTATTTGTTTATAAATTTTCTACATAACCCAGGTGAAATTTTTTTTAATTATTGCTGTAAATTTAATTAATTTAAGTTAAACTATTTTGCGAAAAGTAATGTGCTGAAGCCCATTTGTATTTTAACAAACAGATAAAAAGTAAAATAAAAAAAGTTACATGTATGAGATGAGGTCACATTAGTTCCAAAAGCTTTTAAAGAGTAATTGTGACTTTAAATTTTACATTTCTTTAAACTCATATTAACGACAACTTGGATCTGGTATTTTTAACTTTAAAACTCCCTAATGTGGAGACTAAGAGTTCATCTTATCATGGTATTCATAATTATACTTTAAAAACCAAAATACATGTTAAAACTATAGTAAATTTACACAAATGGATTTGCAATTTGTTTAGTTTTAGTTCTGCTTTAATCACTAGGATCAGAAGATGACACTTTCACATTGAAACTGTATTTTTTTAAAAAATGTTCTCATCCATGAAACGTCACTTTGTCTCCCAGCTTTTGTTTTCCTGACAGCAACAAGTCGTCACGATGAACTTGAACAAATTTGTATAAAATCCTAATTGATGCTGCTGTTTGTGCACCACAGCATCTCTTACATCATGTTTGTAGGATCTAAGCACATCTGTTCAACTCATCTGTGTCAACCCTAATGTGAGCTCACATCCTCACACACTAATTTAACTCCCCCTCCATCTTCCCCGGAGCTGCCATCCTGTGACCTCTTGTTGTCATGGAGATTGGCGGCCATGTGCAAYGCAATGCAATTTGCACATGTTTTTATTTGCGTGGTAACAAAACTGCAAAGGTGTTCTTCAGTTCTGTTTTATTTTTCTTATTTGTCAGGTTGCTTTGATTTCCAGTGACTGAAACAGATGAAATGAGGGTGTGAAAAGGAAACAGGCAGAGGTGTTGATTAGTGGGTGGTTGGAGAACTGGGAGGAAAGAAAGCAGGCAGAGAGTGGGAAAAAAAACAGTGGAGGAGAAAATAAACAAAAAAAATCCTATTGTATTGGTAAAACTAAGAGTTTTATTGCAGAATGAAACATATTTAAAACCCAAGAAATAAAGCGATCTTCTTATAAGAATATACTCCTTAAGTTTTTCCAAATGTGCTCAGACTCTACAGATGTTCACAGATGTTTAGCAGGAAGGAGGCTGCTTTGAATTGATGGCTCACACATAAAGCTTCTGCTGCGAGAGGAAACGATGCACGATGACATGATGGAGATAATCAGAGGTGGGTACGAGATCTGTCAGTGTTAACCCCTGCAGCTGCTTCGGGACGGCTGCACGTGTTCCTCCAGAGCACCGCTGACATTTTCCAAGTTTGATCAGCTTTTTGGTGTCTTCAGAAGGTGGGATATTCACAGGGTGAGTCAAAAGTCACAGGACACCCTTTTCTTTCAGAAAGACAAGTGAAAATGACACGTCTAAATGTCCCAGCAAGTAATAACTGGAACACGTCTGTCGTATTGGATCAGGATCAAGTTTTTTTTTGTAAAGACTGACCCCACCCCTCTTCCTTTTGTTTCTGAAACAAAAGGGTGACCTGTGACTTCTGACTCACCATGTATTCTGAAACTGGTCCGTCATTCTTAGACAAAGGTTTGTTTGCTGACTGGTGAACCATTGCCCATCTTTATTTCTGAGAGATCTAGCTAATAACTCTAAAATTCTCTTTTTATACCCAGCTCTCTTATCTGCCTTTTACCTATTAACCTAATTAGCTGGAAAAAGTTCTTCATGTCGTGGAAACTGTTGAAGACGCATTAAATTGATATCAAACTTAAAGGGGCAATATTATGTGTTTCTCAGGCATATATTTCAATACTATACCATAACAGGGTAACTATGTCACCTTCAGTTGTTGTTAAAATGTTGTTTTTATGTTAAAATAAAAAATAAACTTGACTTCTCATCATTTCTGTTTCTAAACACATTGAAATTGGCCTCTGTCTCTTTAAGAACCTCCTTCCGCTTCAGCCCCGCCCATTTCAGCACAGGGCCGGGTGTGTGTGTGTGCTCTGTGATGAGGAAGCTCAGCTTGGAGACACAAACCAGAGGAGGAGCTAGTCATTTTTGCTCCCCTGCCTGCTGCCTCAGAACAGTACAGGATTTCTCAAACATGCATGAATGAGTCAAAGAAAGACTCTGGGCATGTTTTTTAAGAGAGGATAACTTTATAACATGATATAAAACACAAAAAAGGTTGTTTTTACATGATATTGCCCCTTTAAGTAAAAACTTATCATGATGACATTACATATAAAACTTTACGTTTTACAATTTTTTCTAAGAGTGAAAGTAGTCCTGTGTGTGTCATCTCTTAAGAAAAATAGTTCAGCAATAATAAAATTAAATTCTGACTTGACTGAGGAGCTGACAGCAAATCCAACTGGTGAAAAGACAAAAAGATTGCTGCTGCCTTTAAACACAAACACACACACACACACACACACACACACACACACACACACNCACACACACCCACCCACACACACACACACACACACACACACACACACACACACACACACACACACACAAAAACCCATTCATCGCTCATTTTTTACTTGAGTGCTGTTTAAAAGCCTTTATACAGGCAAAATGACCTCACAAGGACAATTGTCCTCTGAAGACAATCTGCACAAAGATGGCGAGACATGTGCACACACACATATTTTCACTTTCACTTTTACCGTTTTTATCTTCCCTTGGACTTTCTGTTGACTTTCATTCATTTTTCTTACACTTTTTTTTTATAATCTAACCTCCCCCAGTAGCTAATCCTAAACCTAAACTCAGTTCTTTAGAGTTATTATTTGAGTGACAGCTGAATAAAAAACAAGTCAGAAGATCTCCATCAGTGGGKACCACTCTGCAGTGCACAAACTGTTCTTAACCCAGTTTTGTCTCCATCTGTTTTAACTTAAGTTCAGTTGTTGCCATCAGTAGCAGCATGGTCATGCATTGATGGGGCATCACTGAACAACGTTTGGCATCAGCAGAGAAAAGGAGACAGCAGGAGAATCTGGCACACACTCAACCTGTCACTCTAAAAGACCAGATTTTAAAAATAGAGCTTTAAGGCTCTTAACGACTCTGCCCTTCCATATAAGAACCTTTATTTATTTATTTCCCCATCATGACACAGAAACATTGAATGCCCCTGTGTATAATCCTGGGGTGAAACAGCTGCTTTGAATGAATGGGGGATGAACAGGCTTCTGTAAACGTTGAAGAACTCAGTCACTGAATCAGAGCAGAGAAACAAGTAAAACATGCGGGAAAGTGGCCCTCAAGGACCAGGATTGCTGAACCCTGATCTAAACTCAGCATTACAGACCAATCTGGAGGACCATGAACTCAGATTTGGAGGTGCAGAGCCTCATCCTAGCTGTTTCACACTCGTCTGTGAACTGAGGTTGAAGACCATGGCACATGGGACCACATCATCTGCAAATAGCCGTGATAAAATCCTGAGGACTCCCTCGACCTCCTGCTGCACCAAGAAATTCTGTTCCAACAGAATCGRTGCTTTATTTTTTTTAAAGGACATATGAACCAACTTTTTGTGAATAAAACAATTGTGAATATTTTCTATCTTACTTACATTTGTCGGGGAGTGAAAGACATTGGTGCGTGGTTACCATGATGATACTATACACCCTGGCAGAAGCCTTAACACTTATTTTAATTTCTTTTGCACAGTGACTCAATTCCTATCTTTAGAAATTCTTTCAAAACTTTTTRGTTGCATAAAATAACGGTATCATGGTGGTCATGGGAAATTTTTTTTAWAAGTTTCGCTCTGACTGTGCGTGTTTAGTTGTAGCTTGTCAGGACTCCAACCAGACCAGATCCCGTAGAAAGACCCTTCAGACAGATTTAATCTAGAGTCTGTCTAGAGTCAATATCAATACCAAACAAGCCAAACAGGTCTGTGTTCTGAGGATTAAATCTTGTCCGCATAATCTTATCTCCTGTAACTCCGCATAGCTAGCACAACAACCCACTTTTCGCTGGACCACTTTATTGGAGAGAGAGAAACGAGCAACAAGATGACCTGTTCTATTAAAAGGCTTGTAAAGCACTCAATTAGCACACAAGATATTTTTTAATGAACCCAAAGCACAGCCCTCTTCTTATGTCAGCTGATAATTGTTGCTTTTTATTCCTTTAATCCCCATCTCTTGGTGCTATTAAAAAAAAACACACACACAGCGTTCACCCAGATGGAGAAYGTGTTTGCGCTCTCCTTTTATATTATGCCTTTACAACCCGGTCTCCATGACAACTGGCTCCTCAAGCATAAGGCCAGAGAGAGGTATGATATGTGAGCTGCGTGTTAATTCTCGCCTGAACTCTGCCTGTTTTCTTTTTCACCCGCGCCACGCTCGCTGACACGTTTGACTGGCAGGCACACAAAAACCAGTCTGGGGGTGCCATTTTCAAGGACATCCTGTAGTCTGTCATCAACACTTGAGTTCACAAATATATAAGGGTTTAATTGCCTTAAAGAAGATCAGTTATGCAGCCAGTTAAATAGATACTTTTTTCTATTTAGCGTTTTTTTTCTATAATTATCAATCAGTGCAACTGGTTGCATGCATGCTCAAGTGTTTTCTTTAAGAAAAGGATGATGTTTAACCTGCAACAACATCCTGAAGCRAAAGCATGAATGGACCAGTTTTAGTCTGTCATCCTAAAGTGTCCTCAGGTCTCTGCTCCTCTCCTGTTGACATACCTCTCGATGGTCTCCTCTGTTTGGTTTGCATGGTCAAAGTGCCCACCACTGCACCCATGTCGTCCCTGTGGAAACCAGCAACTCCACTAAAAAGGTTCCTCCGTTTGGCTCAGAGAAGCGGTCGTCTCCTTCCTCTCAGAGGGCTTTTTGCCCCCTCTTCTCTTCTGCCTCTCCCCTCTCTCCACTCACTTCACCAGGTTCCAGATCAGTCTCTGGGGACGGTTCTCTGCGAACTCTTCTGAATTTCTGATCCCCCACCTCACACACACACTCACACTCACACACAGGCAAGCTGCTGCCGCYGTTCTGCGCCACTCCCTCCACTCATCTGTCAGCCTTTCCCCCACTTTTTTCTTTTCATGCTGCCTGCGTCCTCATGCCCCCCGTGTTATTGCAGAGCCGTGCACTCACTGATTCACTGATAAAACAGAGGTGGACGTTTTTCTTTCACCTTCAAATATTCATCTTTGATCAGTCTGCTTTTATTCTTTTATTTAAAAAAATCATAAGAGAAGAATGACAGTGAGTACTTATTTTTTTAATTAAATACTGAGCATTAAAATTCACACACAAATGTTAAATAAAGAAAAGCTCCCTCCCCTTCCATCATCCTTTCTCTCATCAACATGGTTCTGTTCACTGGGGCTTCAGACCCCTCCAGCTGCATCAAAGTGAGTGGTGGGGACATAACACTAAAACAGACCACCCAGCCCCAAACACACATGTTAGAATATACAGTAAGGTCTTAAATATTCCTTATCTTATTACTGTTAGATTCTATAGGATGCTGTTGCAGAGACATAAAGGAGGTGCCTCCGTGTCGTGTGAAGTGTAAGTTTAAGGCATGGAAATGTGAAGGCCTTCTCCAATATGCTGCAGACAGGAAATAGAAAGTCGTTGCACTCTTTCTTTGTCAGCCTGTGTGGCTTGGTAAAAAATTCATGCACTGCAGGTTTTTTTTTTTCCAACATGGTCTAAGTTTTTTGTATTTCTTGATTTTTTTTCCCCACACGCACTTAGTTGAGTTGTAAGGAAAAATAGCTAAAACATGTAAAAGTAGTGCAGTAAGGCTACTAAAAAATGTAGACGATGCATAACAAGATTAAACGTTTAAAATTTGCCAACATATCTTTGGCACTTGCTTTTTTTAAATACTTTAAAAAAGGTGTGAAACAAGGAAGAATTCATAAACAGAGTTTTTCACAGCAAACATTTTAAAGAATTTAAAATGAAATTAACTTTTACTCATCTTTTGCAGAACAGCTGGTTTATAAAWGTGCAGAGGTAAAAGGCATTCTTCAAATCTGTTGTGTCCCATGCAGCATTTTTACAAGTACTAATACTCGTACCCCGATACTGGGAACCGATACCAATTCCAGTTTCGATACCAGTTTCCATGTTTAAGAAGTGTATACAATTTGATAGAAAATCTTATTTGCTGTTTATATTTATTTACAAGTTTAGCAACATGCTAATTGATTTTTCCAGTCAGAGGGTATAAGTAAGGAGGTTCACCTTATTTGAAATAAAATAAATGTGCTTGAAAGTTCTAACTCTATACTGTGTAGCAGTATTGGCAAGTACCCAAACTGAGTTATTCATACTCAGTTTCATGAAAATTACTTCAGATACAAATCTAGCATTCCTTGAAGGATTGTGAATCATCTGCTGCCGCTGCCAGATTTATTATTTTTTTATTTAAGATCATCCGATGTTGAGAAATGCTAAGTTGTGGCTGCTTTGGTCAAATTTTAATCTCATGAGATATCACACTCAGAGTATGAATGATTCTCAGCCAGCACTATTTTGAAGCAATGAGGTGAAATGTGAAACTGCTGCACATGTTACTCAACAGGTTGTTGCTAGCTTACCAAAGAGGGAATGAGTTAGCTGATGCCACCAGCTGGACCATGAGAGGTTGAGCAGCTAAAGCCTTTCCTCTGCCTACATCTCCCAGAAGGTCATGTGCTTCTGGATCACAGTTCAGTGAAACTATTATCATTTTATCAGACATATTCAATTGATATTGATCATGTGTTTATCACAATATATATTTTAATAGAACTGTTGCCATAACCCCAACAGTTAATAAGCATCTTGCTCAATGAGTAACACTTGGAGTTTGAGCTCTCAGCTTTAACCAAAGCAAATTTTACCACAAAATCTGTAAAACTGACTTGAAGTATAGCGGTAACGGGTAGGTTACCAGCTGTCTTAGTCGTTGTGTTCTCAGGCAAGACACTTCACCTGCCTTGTCTACTGATGGTGGTCAGAGGGACCGGTGGTGCCGGTGCATGGCCCAGCATTTGTCAGTGTGCCCCAAGGCAGCTGTGGCTACAATGTAGCTTACCACCATCGGTGTGTGAATGTGGGTGTGAATGAATGAAGTGTAAAGTGCTTAGGAGTCCATCAGCTATATACAAACTCAAGCCATTTACCATTATAATCCAGCTGGCGAGATATTTTGCTAACACAGAGTTAGCTCCAAATAGCTGTTTACAGAATTTTGAACAAAGATCTTGTGGACTTTCGTTGCCCTCAGAATACGAGTTGAGGATCAGTCTCAGCTACTACCACACCAAATCTTAGGTCAACATCTGTGAAGTTAAATGATTCAGGACCATTTTGTGCAGCAAAACTTGTTTGGTTTTACTCTTTCATCAAAATATCTGCAGTGAAAACCGCTGTTACTAACCGCCATTTGCTAATCACGTGATGATCGCTCAGGTGGAGCAGAGGTTTGACCTGAACCTGCGCTGATGAATTAAACATTAAATCATTCATAATTCAGATGTATTTTCATCCCTTTCACCGGATCTGCTATATTTACC